CCCAACAGCTCCCCCCAGCCACCACCACTGTCCCGCGAGCGGGGTGACCTTCCCGCAGCTGGCGCTCTGCTCTGCCCAGCCCTGCGCACAGCATCCTCAGCGCTTCCAACTTCCAGCCTCCTTAGGCGGCGAAGGGCGGGGAGCAGGCAGGCATCCCCACCTCTCTGAGCTGCCCTGGGCTTTTGAGGTCTTAGCTGCTACCTGCCTCCTCTCTCCCCTCACCCAGGTGGAGAAACTGAGGCTGGGAGAGGGCCAGAAACTTGCCCAAGGTCACCTAGCAGGGCAGGAGGGGGATTAGAACTAAGGTCACCTTCCGGTCTCAGTCCCCTACTGGAGTGGCAGAGGTGGACAAAGCAACTTCCCTCGGCCAAAGGCTGAGGGGAGAAAGTGACTCTCAGCAGGACCCCTCCCTGCCACACCCCCATATTACCCTCTCCAGGGTCCTGAAAGGGAGCACAGGACATAGAAAATTGGGGAGGGGGCTTCCCATTTCCTTTCTGCTTGGTGTCCCTTCCTCAGGGTAAGAAGCTCTGGGAGACCACGCTCCTGGGGTACTGCGATAGCCCACCCTCTTCTCCTTGACCCACCTTCCCCCTCTGAGAAGGAACTTAACTGGGAATTCCCGGGGAGACTTCTAACACGCCCCCAACTCCCGCTGGGGATGGATATCTGCAGGAAAGCCACCATTTCTGGGGCCTCCCCCCTTCCTCCTCCTCCTCCCGCTGTGTGACCTTGAGAAAAACTTGTCCTCCCTCTGTCGATTTTCTGGCAACACCATCTGTGGCCAAAAAAAAAGGCTGACCACCGCCCCCCACCAAGATACACCACATCGTGTTCACAACACCCCCCATTCCCCTGCCCGCCCCCATTCAGCCACCACCCAAAAGCCTTCATGGAACCCGGGACGCCCCGCTGCCTTCAAAGGCTACTTCTGCCATCAGCGAAGGGTAGGGCAGAACGTGGGGGCAAATCCACCTTGGGCAAAGCACCCGTCCCCTGGTCTGGGCTCCTTCAGCCCTCCCACCCAGGTACACCCCTCCATCCCCCCCAGCACCGGCACAGGGAGATCAATCGGCAAATGCTGTGGCACCCCCATTCTCCTGCCCTTCCCTACCGCCCCTTCTTTGTCATTTTAACCCGCTGCTCTCCACCCCCCACAGCTGTCGACTCCTTCGACTACAAAAAGTTCTTCCAAATGGTCGGCCTGAAGAAGAAGAGCCCGGATGACATAAAGAAGGTGTTCCACATCCTGGATAAAGACAAGAGCGGCTTCATCGAGGAGGATGAGCTGGGGTAAACTGAGGCCTGCGGGGGCGGCCCCGGCTGAGGGGGCGTGGGGGGCTGGGATTCTTGCTGCCGAGTTCCCATGAGGGCTGCCCTTGTCTCTGCACCGTTGGCAGAAAATAACTCTGCCTGACCGCCGTTGCTTCCGGAGGAATAGAATCCGCAGCAGAAAGTGCAACTAACTAGGTTAAATTATAGCCACTTAATATGGCTAACGGAAGGGTGCTACTTAATAATTTAATACGCGTGAAGAGGCAGGTTTTCTGGATGCTTCACACCACACGCAAGACAGGGAGCGCTGCCTCGAGTATTTAGTTCGTTGATTGTCATTTGCCTAAAAGGCACCCTCCACCATCCCGCAGACCCTCCCCGCCCCGCCCCCTGCACTTGTGTAACAGTGCAGCTAAGGCAGTGTCCGGGCAAGGTGGGGATGCAGAACCAACTTTGGGGGTCAGGAGTCCGGGGAGCAGAGCGGAGGAGGGGAAGGTCATCACTAGGAAAACGCACCCGGCTCGTCGCTGCCCACCAGGCTCGTCTTACGTCACTCTCTGGCCAAGACTGCCTTGGATTTGGTCTTCAAGAGAAGGGGGATGGTGTGGAGAGAGGCCTCGCAATAGGGACTTCCCTGTCCATCCAGTCTCAGTCTCACCCCAGATCATCCCACAAGGGTACCCTTTGCCTAGAACCTTCCCCTTCTACCCCCCTCCCCCCCGCCACGGGCTGACTTCTGCTTGTTCTCCAGAGGTCACCTTCTCCAGGAAGCCTCCCTGACTCTCCCCCTCACCCCAGGTGGGATGGATGCGTCCTCTGAGCACCCTTCTCTAGTTCCTCACCATCGCACCCATCACACCGTGCAGTCTTGACCTCCGCCTCAGTTTTTTAGGTGCCTTCCTGCTCTGTGCTCCCACTTTCCAGCACGGCCCTGGTGCAGAGAAGACACTTTTGCGTTTGTGGTGTTGGCCAAATAAACAAATGCAGGTGCCCTGCCTGGCGTGGGGTCCGCCTTTTGCGGAGGACAGCCTGTCCTTCTCTGCACACCCACCCGTGACGCCCAGCCCAGCTGCATACGTGTCCCCCGCTTGCTGCCTAGCCCAGTGGCCCGTACCTGTCTCTGCAAGGTGACCTCCACCTGACTCCCTCCCTGGCTTTGCTCCCCAGATTCATCCTAAAGGGCTTCTACCCAGATGCCAGAGACCTGTCTGTGACAGAAACCAAGATGCTGATGGCCGCTGGCGATAAGAATGGGGACGGCAAGATCGATGTCGATGGTGAGTAACCATGACCTGGGGCCTGAGCACATCATGGACCTTGGGATGTTTGGATGCTAAAAGCTTGGAGCTATCGCTGTCCCGTGAAGGGGAGAGGAGAGGTGGTCCTGTACTCCCCGGGATTAGAAGGAAAAGGCAAATGCATTGGGTCTGAGAGCTCTGTCATGTAAGCCAGGCACACACACACACACACACACACACACACACACAACTGGTACATTTTTTCTAAATTTGAACAACCCGAAAGGAACAGATTCTCTTTTTTTTCTCCCTGCTGCATAGGGAATCAAGGATGATTTGGGATTTTTTTTTTCCCCCTGACTTTTGCCTGCAACTTTTGCCTGAGTTCTGGTCCCAGCTCTGCCCCAACTGGCTGTGTGACCTTGGGCCGTCTCTCTCCTTCTCTGGGTCTCAGTCTCCCATCTGTAATCCGAGGAGATGAGGCCAACTGATCCCCAAGGGCCCTGTGGGCCCTCCTGTTCTCAAATTCCAGAGATGGAAATTCCTTATCTTCCATCCTCCTCAACATCTTGTCCTGGTATCCTGTAACTTCAGGTTTCAAAACCCGTTCTGGCTTTGCCCAAACATACCGTTCCGGCCCTGAAGGGGAGCCAGGAAAAAGAGCCAGCCAGCAATCAGCTAGGAATTAGGAAAAGGGATATCTGGGCCTTGCTTTTCAAGCTTTGCTTTCAGAACAGGCTTCCAGAGAGGCTGGTGGTCCACCGCCCCACATGCTTCTCCGCTGAGGCGTAACGAGCACCCCCAGATCACCCCCCAGCAGCATTGACTTCCTTAGCATCCCAACAGCCTTGAGAATGATGTCCGTTTTGCCAGATGGGCAAACTGAGGCTGAAGGTGCTTAGCCTGTTCAAAGAGCTAGGACATAAGTGGGGGAACAAGGATTTGGAAGAACTCTTTCCCACAAGCTGTGCCGCAGCTCGTAACGGTCCAAGCAAGGTGCGTAGTTTCATCCTAGGACCTGCTCGGGCTCGTTGCGAAAATTAAGTGGCTGTCAACACAAAACTGCTCTGGGAAAGTTAAAACGCTTCCGAATGTGCGTGTAGTGTATTAAAGTTTTCTGTCCGCGACCAAAATGGAGACAGGGTCAGACGCAGCGGGGCGCCTGGCCTTCTAGTCCCAGCTGTCTCTCCCGTGGCTGCAAAGGAGGGAGGTGACTTGAAAGGAGCCGGAGCCGAAAGTGCGGGAGAGAAATGGGTGACTGGTCTTGGTGCGTTCCGGTGAGTGGCACCTGTCCCCACACCCCCTCCTCAGCAAGCCACTTAGCTCCACCCTGAGCCAGCGTTCCCACCCTGACCCCAACCCAAACCGCCACACCTGTTTCCTGTTTTTATTTGCAGCCAGTAGGCAGCAGCTCAGAAGCCACCGTAGGCGGGGGCGGGGGCCCCAGGGTTGGCTGTTCTGGAATAACCTACATGATAAAGAAAAACCAGGCCAGATCCTAGGCTGCTTCCCTGCCTGCCTCCCTCCCTCTCTCCCTCCCTGCCGAACTCATATTTTAAAGAGATAACTCAACTTTTGCAACTGATCTAACAGACATTTCCCGAGTGTTAAGCCTGTGCCAGGCTATCAGGGAGGCAAAGATGAATTAGACCCTACTCCCAGCGGCGCTATTTGCTGGCTGGGTGCCCCGGAGCAGTGGCTCAGCCACCCGGAGCCCCAGCTGCCCATTGATAAACTGGGCACGGACAACTCATGGGTCACTGGCATTTGTGAGGATTCCATGACACCGTGCACGTTGAGTGCGGGGCCCAGAGCATTGTGAGTACTCGGCAAACGGTGGCCGTGACACTATTTCCCTTCCATCCGCGCGTTGCTTACAGCTCTAGGTACAGGCGCACGAAAGAATGGCGACACCAGGGAGGTGCAGAGAAGCCTTTTGGAGAGGGAGGAACGGAGGCATTTCGGCAGATTGGAGGCTGTGGGCAGGAAGCCACAGGCTGGAGTCTGGGGTGGGGGGCCGTCCCTGCGGAGCCCCGGGCAAGGCGTCGGGTTTGGCAAAGGCCTAAGGCTGGGAAGTTTAGGGATGTTTAGAAAGGGGCAAGAAGGTTGGTTTGCTGGGGTAGGAAGAGCGAATCGTCACCAAGGTGGCGATGTGTGCCCGACCCAGTGCTGAACTCTGAGCACACGTCACCTGTGACAGAGGACGGAGGTACAGTTGCAGAAAGAGAAGGGCCAGTGCCTAAGGGATGCTGGATGCAAAGCCAGGTCTGTCCGCCCGCACAGTTCAAGCTCAGGACGACCTGGTGGAGGCCCGAGGGTCAGCACAGAATGAAACGGGGGGGGGGGG